AAAAAAAATTAATTTAATAAAGAAAATAGAATTAAAAATTTATTTCTACATTAAATATATTTGTGTTTATAAAAATTGTTAATATGCATTCTTCTACTTTTTAAATATTTTTTTAGAAATATCCAAAATATTCCACTGCTATTAACAATCGATCATATTAGAACTAGAATAACTCATATACCACAAATCGATAAAACAGAATTAATATCATAATTTAATTCTTTTATTTGTAAATAATAGATTCTTATAAATTTTTCATTATAATAAAAAATTAAAGTTTATTAAATTATAAAGAAGTTAATATTTTTAAAATTATACTAACATTTTATCAATACAATGTATTTATTTTGAAGGGATCATCTACGAGATATCCGTTAATAATACAGAGATCTGTAAATGATGCTCTTACATTATTTTTTGTCAATAATATTGACAAATATTAAATTTTTTTCCCAAAATTGTGTATCAGTTTTTATCAATTATACATATAATAATAATCAAGTTAAAATTTTTTATCTTTTATCTTTTGAAAGTCTATGAAATCACATCTGTAATCTTATATCTTTCTAAAAAACGTTCTTTACGAAACTATTAATAAGACTACAATAAATCAATATTGTAAGATTTTTATAAATACTTGCTTTTTAATCTTAAGAATTACAAATTTGTAAAACAAATTTAAAAACAGATTTTATATATTTTTTTTTATAATTATATAATTATAAATAAAAATAAAAATTGTAATATTATTAATAAAATAATCTATTTCTTATTTCTTAGTTTTCATCTTATATTTGTTTTGATAGTTTGTCTGAGAAAACAGTCGGTAGAGCAGAAAAATCAATATTTCGCAACGTTGCCATGTCGAACTCGTCAAGGGTTGAGTGTCGGAGTCTTTATGAGAAAGTGGTTTTCGTCGTGGGGGGTGAGAAAAAAGCAAAGGAAAAATTCAAGAAAGTCTAATCACACGTGGGTCATGACTACGTCGTACATCGCGAGTACGTAATTTCGAGTCGTTGGTTTTTTCCTTCCTTGTGTTCAGAGTGCATGAGACGAGTGTCATCCGAGAGACAAGTGTTGTTAATATCATGCATGCTCCTTAGGGAATGTGAGTCTTTCCTAAAAATCTTTTTAGAAATCACATTAAACATGATACACAAATTGGTTAATGAATATTCAAATCATTACAATTAAACAGTGAAATGATATAGAATGTGGACTTTATTTTTAGTAGACTTTTTATTATGCTAACTTTTAAGAATAAAAAACATAAAATTAAACTTGAGAACTTCATTTAAAAAAATGAAGTTCTAAACAAAACTGAAAATAAAAACTATCAGAAAGAACTTAAAAATTGAACAAATAAAATTAACAGATATTATTGATTTTTAAAATAAAAAATTTATTGTTCAAATTAAAATAAGGATGTCAAAGATGTATAAAAAAAATTTAGAATGCAATGACTTGTTAAAAAAAAAAAATTCAGAATGAAAGGAAAAGGCAGAATTCAATAATTTGCAGATCTATATATCCAAAAGAACTAATGGTTGAAATGGTTTCTTATCATTTTCTTCGATAAGTAAAATATCTCGAAATTTGAAATAAAAGAATACATTGCAGTTGTATAATTAATTCGTATAACGTTCAGAAAAAAGATTTTCGATCGAATTCCCTGATTCCCAGAACATCAACATGAGTCTCTGTTCACGGAGACGCTTTCGCATCACTCCTATGCGAGCTCTGGCGGCATTCTTCCTGATGGTTGTGCTGTTCTGGTATAGTCTCAGTCGGCAAGAAATTCCGCAGCAGCCATGTAGCGTGCCCGAAGAATTTACTGAGAAATTACATGATCTCGCTTATAGGTCAGTATTTAAGTTATGTGATATTTATTTATGATAGTTTATAATTATATTTAATTTCTTTATCTCTTCCTCTCAATCATTAAGTTCTATTTTATTTTAAATTTTTTTAAGTCTAGATTTTTTAAAATAAAATACATGTAACTGATATAATTGAAAATGCTTTAAAATACTTTTTAATTAGAATTTTAAGTTAAATTTAATTAGACTTTTAGAAGATATCTCTCTTTAATTTTTAACGCGTAAAATACCTGTAATAGTTTATGTAAAATAATTTATTATCAAAACATATATAATTTCCATAATTTCTTCAGGGCTCATTTGGTCCTCTCTAAGTTGGGCATCGTCCACTTTCTCTGTCTGGGCGGCCTTTGGGGCCAAGTTCGAATAGGCCGCGCACTACCGTGGGCACGTAAAGTGGAACTATGTTTGATCGACACGCTTCGCGACGATGTCTTAATCACAAAAGCCTTCCGAGAAGTCGGTTTGAGTGCAACTTACCTTCACGCAGCGGGAATTTACAGGATACAGGAACACGAAGTCGGCGAAGATGCACCTAAAGTGGAAGTGGTTGTTTTCGAGGAAGACGCAGTGGTAATTAAGTTTTTTAAACAAAATTTTTTATTTAAAGTGGACTTTATATTAAACATTTTTTAATTGTATCTGTAAAATTTAAATAATAACAATTTTTACAAAATACGTTTTTACATAAGACAAAATCAAACAGATAAAACTACTCGTTTTGTTAGAATTTCCTTTAGATGCTTCGTATTTATGTCCGATTTATTGTCACTGTAAATAGTTTACAACTTCAGCTCTTCCTTGCTTTTACATCAAGAACAGTTTATTTGTAAGATTTCGTTTTATGTATCTAGCACAAATGCAAATTCGACGCTTTGTGTGCCCTTATGCTTTTGTGGAGCATTGAAGGAAACTCTAGAAATATATGATTTCCGTGGATTTTCCGTGGAAAAACACATCACGTATATAGAACAAGTGAAGACAACTCCTTTAGCGTCGATTTGTCCATAAATCGGCGAACGTAATCATTTTATTATCCCTTATTTGTATGTATACGATCCGAATTGTCGAATTCGTCGACAAGGTAATCAATTGTATCAAATCCATCTTAAATTTCCTAGATTTAAAACAAAACATACTGAGAATATCACAATCATTTTTAAAAATATTCTACTTTAAGATGGAAAATTTTAAAGCTGGAAAAAGAAGGAAAAAATGTAGAGACGTCACCAACACCTCAAAAAATTCAATGATGTTAACACTTACAGACGCAGATGGTGAGAAGAGTCGGCTGGACCAGAAGGGTCCTGCCTCCAGACTGCGAGTTCTCGCCGAGTCTACAGTGTTTTCCACCACAATTAGTGATACCTCCTCTACCGGCGAAACAATTCGGCGGCCGATTGATGCCCGTGCCACGAGAAGGTATAGAATTACAGAAGTATCATTATCCTAATGATTGGTGGTTGGAGATCAAGCCCACTGACTGTACCGAGCTCCAAGAGACAAATGTGTAGTGTACAATCATGATGCAATTAGTCTTAGTGCAATATTAGAACATTGTGTTCGCTAAATCGGAATTCATTGTCTAATCATTGTTTAATTAGCTTGTTTAATCAGCATATATAATTCAATTATGGTTTAGTTATTTATAGTGTTCAACTGATAATTAACTTGGATTATAATTAGCTTGGATTAATGAAGAAAGCGCTGAGATATTTTTTACTATAACCAAAATATTTTCTAAAAGTATACATGACAAATAGAAAATGTGCATGTGTCGACAAACGATAAATTTTGAGTTGTTATGTAATTGATTTAAAAATCTAATTTACTCTTCTAAAAAGTTCGATCGGCGCACACAAAGTGACGATGCAATTATTGCTTATAGAAAGTATTCAAGTGCTATCATAAAATAAAACGTACAGTAGTATTATTAATGATAATGGTCAACTGTTAATCATCATAGCGATTATTAGATGGTTAAAAATGGATTCAACTTATTTTTTCCTAAGTCATATTTCCTGAGATTTTTTGTTATATTATTTCCATTTTTATATCTCACATTTTTTAATTACTTTAATTACTTTAATCTTCCAATTTGTAATTAAAATTATTAATTAAATTTGTAATTAAAATTTTATAAATCAACAATTTACTACATGCACAGTTACTACTAACATATAATTACTGAAAAAAATTATGTAGAATGACTTTTTATGCATTTTTACACTTTTTAAAAATCATTTTTTATCATTTAAGCTGGATATTTTAACAGTACAGTAACATTTATATTACCATAAGTGCTAAGTGATACAGTAACATTTATATTACCATAAGTGCTAAGAAGATAAAAGTATGCGAATACAAGTTTAATGTTCATATATTCTTCGAAGCGCAAAGTATATGAGTATACTTTAGACTTAATCGTGAAGTTATAGAGAAAATATATAATAAGAAATTAACTCTACGTGTATACTTAAAAGGCATTGTTAGCTTTAACTTATTTAATTGTACTTATTTACACATTTATACGCAATGCGCTTTTATACGAAAACATATCTTCTTAAAATAATGTATTCATTTAAGCGATTAATTATAGATAATTATTACTTCAAATTAATTATAGATAATTATTACTTCAATAAGCAATCTTGTTACAATTCATTATAAGCTGTGATGAAAACCGTAATTATTATTCAGTGCAACATAGTAGGAAACAATAATATGTAATAATAAAATATATTCGTTGTACTTCTACTGATCGCGCGCGAATTTATGTTAATGCAATTATAAATGCAATTATAACAATACATTTCGTAATGTTACAGTTACGTCCAAAAATCTTCCAGGGGTTGAATAAAAATCTATAAAATATATTAACATGTTTTTAAATTTATTTTAAGTAATTATATATATGATTATCGTTTCCTTTATTAATTAAAAAGAGAAAGTTCTAAGAGCTCTCGACTATGACTAGATTGATGAAATAAACAATATAACAGCAACATCATTCAAAAGAATGAGTACTTCCTAAAGAAATCTTTGAAAGCAAATGCATTAGCATACGTTCCTTGTTGAAAGTATCTTGAAAGTATCTTGTATGATGCCTCCGTCACTTTTCACTACGCCGCGTTGGATCTACGGCTCATCAATTGCTATAGCAATTTTTTAACAAACATCTTTTCTGTATTATCGCTTTTATAAAATTTAATACTACATGTTTATTTAAAATGAATGTTATTATATGATAGCTATTAATAAACAAAATTTAACGTTAATTTATATTGATCAAAACATAAATTTGTGAAACTTTTTTTAAAGTTATTTTTTTATATAATAATCAAGTTTATGTTATTAAATGTCGATATTTAATGTTGCATTTGGAATTATTTGAAAAAGCTGCTACTTAATTGCTGCTAATATTCTTGCATACCTCAAGTGTATGAATGTGTATGTTTACAAGATTATAAGAAATATTATATTAATATTTTTCATAAATTTAGGTCACAAAGAAAGTATTTACTTTGCACAATGTGAATCACGAATGAAATTTGCATATGATTCTTACTGAATACATTCCTTATTTCTTGAATTATTGTACAACTTTCTATTAGATACATATTATTAAATACATACAATCTTTTGCCAAATAATTTCTTATTTTGTCTGTTTATTTGTGAATGTACATTTCCCTTAGTGAAACTTTTCTTCATTGAAGAATAAATTGTAATAACTTCAGTTGTAGCATTACGATGACATTTATGAGTCATTATACATATGTTGCTTTAGACGGTTCGAGAGAGATGGAAGGGAAGATATAAAAGAAAGTCTGCTCGAAGACTTTCAAGTTCATAGTTTCATTTCGATCCATGAAGGTTTTATCCGGCTACACGAGCGTTTCTCTTCTTCAAAAATCTTAGCGAGATAATGTGTCCTGTTTCTAAAATAAAGTGATATATATGTATATATTTATATATATATATATTTATATATCCATATGGGGGACATATATGATGGAGCGTATAACAACCGACTTATTGTTGAAGTGCGTGGGATTGCTTAGTCTACCTTCGAGTGAATGATGTTTTTGACCTTCGAGTGAATGATGAATTTGA